TGTGCTTTGTGTTTGGTTGGGGATTTTGAGGGACTTTGCGCCGGACTCTGGAAACTTGTTCTCATAGGAAAAGGATCCAGTGGGGCCTACACCAAGGAACTATCCTTCTTCTACCATATAGTACTTAAACATTCTCTTCCAGAGTGCAGATTCAGAGCTGGCCAGAGTGTCCATCGTGGCTGTGGTAAACAGAATCTGACCACAGTCCACTGAAGGGAGATGTTTAAGAGGGATTAACATGTCAGCTGGGAGGGTCAATCTGGTGACCTCTAAGGTATCTTCCAACTATAACGATTTTCCATGATTGTCGGTATGAGGTAGTGCATGCAACTCTGGGATCTACTGGTGGTGATGTGAGGGGGATTCTCTCTCACTCTAATAAACTTGGCACTACTCGAGCATTTTCTCTTCAGACTCTGGAGCACTGAGCGAGGTTCCAAACATGGACCCCCATGAGGCTTCCAGGCTACTTGACTTAGGTGTCATGAAAGACCAAGATGATGCCTCGGCCATGATGTCTGTCAACTCTTGCTTTGTGACTCCAGAGAATTTAGGCATTTTCTCTGCTTATTATGGCCTGAGAAGGAATTGATGGGTGATGAAAACCTATTCATACTTACCTTTTTCCTGAACCTTAAGGTACAGGCGAGTTGGGTGAATTTGGAAATCCTACCTAGGCCATTAATGAGTTTATATTTTGACTTGAATTATTGTGAAGTTATCTTCCCAGTTGTTTCATCCTGTTTGTGAAAAGCAATACAATGTAATGGAAAGAGTCATAGGACCCAAAGCAAGAGACCCTTGCTCCAGTTACCACACTGCCATGATCCAGCCTGTCCATGTCTCTGTCTCCTTAAATGTAAAATACAAGTTTGGACCAAGTAACTCTAAAGTCCCATTCAACTCTACAGTCTATGATTGTCTGTCTCCGATCAGATCGCCTTTCTCAGCTGAACAGCATCATTCTTTACATTTTTCCTCATATAGAGCCCTCACACAGCAACTGAATAGCCATATTTTTAAAAATATATATATTTTTGTTGATTTCAGAGAAGCTTATGTAGCTCTAGGTATTGCTTGGCTTGTGGCAGTGTATCCAATCTCTACCTCTGTCTTCCTTCTATGTGTGTCCAAATTTCTCTATTGAAGGATACCAGGTACATTGGATTAATGGCCCACATTACTCAAGTATTACATCATCTTAACTTTACTAATCACATCTGCATCAACCCTATTCCAAATGAAGTCTCATTCTGAAGTACTTGGGATTAGGACTTCAACATATACTTTGGGGGAACACAATTCAACTCATGAGAGTAGAGAAAGAACACTAAGGAGTAGGCAGCTATAGACTAGGTCAGACCTAGAGCAGCCAGGGTGAGTGCAGTGGGTGTCCCATGCCCTGGGGGCTCGCCCATCCATTCAGCCTTACGATTCAGGAATGTGTTTGGAAAGGTGGTTCAGGGGAAATGATTGTGTTCTCCAGATAATTTTTCTTCCCACCCATCTTGTACCCATAGGCTGGCTGGAGGGCATGAGACTCTCAGATGGGGAGCGAGGCTGGTTTCCTGTGCATCAGGTGGAGTTCATTTCCAACCCGGAGGTTCGTGCACGGAACCTGAAGGAAGCCCAGCGAGTCAAGACGGCCAAACTACAGCTGGTAGAACAACAGACCTAGCTATTCTCTGGAAGGACTCCCCTGAGCTTAAGGACAAGTTGTTCTTGGAGAGGGCTGGCCCTACAACCCTGCAACAGAGGCCTTCTGTGGACCAAGAACTAGACCTTCTGAGAGCCCAAGAACAAAATCCAACTACCAATCGCGGTGATATGGGAGAATCGTTGATTGGCTGCCTCCTGCACATCCTCCAGGGGGGATCAAGCTGTAACCTGGGCATGTGTTCTGACCAGGAATCAAACCATGACCTCCTGGCTCATAGGTTGACACTCAACCACTGAGCCAGGCTGGCCAGACAGCATAGTCATCTTTTAAGCTGTGTCATTATACTCTTTTCCTTGACAGTGTACTCCTCTGCCTTATCTTTGGGAGGGCTCAAAAGTAAAATTGCATTGCAGCTTTGTACAAAGGTAAGAATACTACTACAGACTGTCCTATACCCAGATAACAATGATATGACATGATGCTATCACTTTTGATAACACATTTTGTTTTGAGTCCATCCAAAAATGTAAGTTAGCTTGTTTAATTGTTAGAAAAGTAATCCCTATCCTAATTAAGATTGGGCTAATAGTAATTTATCCTAACAGGTTGACACTACCAAACAATCTAAAATGGGAGGGCTTTAGATAAGTTCTGTTGAAGTTTCTCACTATTTTCATAAAGCCAGCTTTTTATTAATATACTAGAGGCCCGGTGCACAAAACTTTGTGCACTGCGGGGGGGGGGGCATCCCTCAGCAGGCCTGTGCCCTCTTGCAGTCTGGGACCCCTCGGGGGATGACCACCTGCTGGCTTAGGCCCACTCCCTCCTGGATTGGGCCTACGCTGGCAATCAGACATACCTCTGGCAGCCCGGGAGCCCTCGGGGGATGTCCACTTGCCAGTGGGGAGCAGGCCTAAGCTGCTGTCGGACATCCTTAGTGCTGCTGAGGAGGCGGGAGAGGCTCCCACCACCACCGCTGTACTGGCAGCCGTCAGCCTGGCTTGTGGCTGAGCAGAGCTCCCCGTGTGGGAGCACACTGACCAGCAAGGGGCAGCTCCTGCATTGAGCGTCTGGCCCCTGGTGGTCAGTGTGTGTCATAGTGACCAGTCATTCCCAGTTGTTCTGCTGTTAGGGTCAGTTTGCATATTACCCTTTTA